CCAACTGCCCATCTTTATTTGCTTTCCTGTGGACTTGCCTTAATTCATTCCTCCCACACCACCCACCCGGTGCTCAAATGCTTCTGCTCCATCCCCATCTGCCACACTCAGTTTGGTGTCCCCCAGTCCAGCTCCCAATCCTGTGCTTTCCTTCCAGCACCCACCAGCTAGGCACTCAGCACTCTTCCACTGCATTCCAACTGGCTGACATGTCTTTATGGGGCTTCAGCCTCACTCCTACCTGACTACAGCCATGCCCTCACCCATCACCCTCCTGAGTGGCCCTGGTTTTTTTGCTTGGTTATCCCTCTTGCTTGCTTTCTTTTAAAATATTTTTAATTTATTATTAATTGGGATTTATATATATATATCATTCCATAGTTCAATCATGCCAAGCAACGTTGTACAGTTGCTACCACAATCCATTTCCAAATATTCTTTTTTCCCCTGGACTCCTTGATATCATCGCCCTTTCACGCCCTGCCACCCCGAACCCCCCCTATGTCCATCCCTCTTGCTTTCTCATCCCACTGTCCTTTAATGTGCATTCTCTACTTTTCTTTTGAAGCATGCCCCATGCCAAACATTTTACCATATTAATGTTATCACACTTCTTCAAACACATCTTTCATTATTTGTATAAGTCTGTTGGTATTTATTGTGGCTTCCCTTTTCTCTTTCTTTCCCCTTACTTCATTTTCTCCTTTTTTCTCCTTGCTCCCACTTTCAGTTGTCTGGTTCTTATTAACCATCTACTCCACCACTCGACAGTCAACTATCTCCATGAGACGGAGCAGCCCACCCTTCACAAAAAGATTCACCACGAAGCTGTGCAACAGCAGATATCACAAGAAACACACAATTAAAAAAAAAAAGGAAAAGAAAAACAGACACAATCACCTGAAAAACTACCAAGCCTGAAGGATTTTTCTGCACAAGATGCCCCGGAATTACCATAAACAAATCATGAATTCAAAAGAATGGGGTTTATGCACCTTCACTGGATGTAGTAAATCGATTTTCAATAACCCCACATGCATGAACCCTCTGGTGACGAGCATCTTGGCACAGTGAGGACTGCGATGAACCTCGCTAGCACCCAGAGTTGCTGTAAGCATGGTCACAGTGGAGACTTGTTGCCGTGGCAGTTAAGCATTTGGCTGGGATCCACAAGGTTAGCAATATGAAACCACCAGCCACATGAAAAAAAATGGTCGTGATCTTTAGCTGTAAGGGAGATGCACCTCAAAACAATGAGATAACATTACACTGACAATGGCAGTCCACTAAAACAAACCAATATTCGACAACAAATACTGAAGGGCGTGCGGAGAGATTGGAACTCTCATCCACTGATGATGCGTCTCCAAATATGTAAAACCTCCACTGACATAACACCTCTGAGAAACCCTCCCTTCTGAGCAAACAACAACAAAACAAAAATACAGAAACTGTTTGAAACCAAATCAGGTCCAGCATGCATCAGAGGAGGGATCAACTGACAAGGAATCAAGTGTCCAAGTCAGATTTATGCCTTTGATCTATGCTGATCTCTCCAATACACTCTGTTTAGTAACCACTTTCCTCCCATGCCTCAATTGTGGTGAGAGTTCATCGGAAACTTGCTTCCTGTGTAGTTCCCACAAATGAAACTTGGCCTTCCACTGTCAGCCATAGCCTCTGCAAACCGGATTCTCACAACTTTGGCTCTGATACTATTCCCTCTTGTTACTTCATTTTATATGATTTACAGTTCTGTTTCAGTGATTGATGCTGGTGTCCTTCTTCCATGTGGACTTAGTTGACATCTCACATGGATGGCTGCTTGTTTGGAGACAATCATTTAAGACCCCTGGTGCCATTTTATCTGATAGTCAGCCACCATCTAATTTCTTTGCCACATTTTGCTATAGCACCGGTGTCTCCTGTGTTCCCTTTCTAAGGCCGAATATTGTGCAGGGCCATGATGTAAGAACTAATTGTTCTTATGTTGCAGTTAGGATTTATTGTGAGCCCAAAACTGATTCCTGAATCTGTTTTATTTTTTAAGAAAATTGTTATTAATTAGGAGTTAATACATATGTCATATCATCCCATAGTTTCATCTCATGAAGCAGAATTGTACAAGTGCTTCCACAATCAGTTCCATGCATACACATTCTTCCTAGAATCCTTGACATCGTGTCCCTGTGTTTTGGTATAGGAAAGCCAGAATTGATGAACCGATAGGACAGCAGGTAGAATAAGGTTTTCAGGGGTCATTGTGGTGGAACAGGGGTTGTGGTTGGGTAGAAGTAAGATGGGGTCAAGGAATTCAAGAAGAAAAGGGATATTTGGAAACTGATCTTGGTAGCAATTGTACAATTCTTCTTGATGTGATTGATCTGTGGAATGATATGATATATGTAGTAACTCCCAATTAATAAAACATATGCGTGTAAAACTCTGTGGAAAGTGATACCTCAAACAAACAGGAATAGAAATTCTATACAATCCAGCCATGCCTCTGCTGGGTATATACCCTAAAGAAGTCAGAGCCAAAATATGAACATATGTATGCATTCCCATGTTCCTGATAGCAATATGCCCAATAGCAAGAAGTAGGAAACAGCCCCCAATCCAT